GAAAACGCATTTGTCGGTTGAGCTTTGAATCTTAGAGTCCGCATGTTATTGAAAGGCGCAGTAAAACTGTTCGAAGGAACGAGGGAGTTTGACCTCAAGCATTTCGGCAAGAACTCTCTTCTTTCTTGCAAGGGAGTCAAAGCTTTGGACATATTTACGAACTGAATTTATATTCAAACCAGTCCCTATCGGGAAGGGTTAAAACACATGTACAAATAATTGTATTTTAAACTCAAAACTTGCTTGTTTATGGCTTAATTTTGTATCAGAAATATACCTAACAAACAATCAACTGACAGCAAGTTGACTAAAATCAGAAAATGTACTGCGTACCATTTCATGTCCCCTGAAGCTTTAGCTTAAAATTTTATCCATTTATTGCAAAATATTTCTCCTTTTACTGCTCGTATTTTAAGTGTTTTTTATCACATTTGTAGTACTGATGTAGCTTACATGTGTACGATTTTGCCCCAATATTTAAGTAGTATGCTTTTGTTCACATTAGGTTACTCAATGGGGTCTGCACTAAAACTTACCGACTGATTTTGATATTCTGATCAGCAGGACGCCGTGATGGAAATCCTGTTTTAGTGGTTAAAAGTCAAAGTTGGTGTACTTTTTGTCAGAGACAGTTTGCCTTACCGTGCCCCTCTGTACCCCCCTTGAGCGGGTCACATGATTTTTGCGACCATGTGCTCTTAGCAGTTTGGTGTGCGTTGTTTTGTGTGTAGGCGGAAAGTTTGCTTTTACCTTCGCCTTTTACTTTCTCGATGTTGACATCTTGATTAGGCCTGAAGATGCCCAAAAATATGCAAGTGGCCGCTCATTTGCATTGTTTTCTTTTTGTAATTCAATGTTTGTTCGAGTCGCAAGCTTTACATTTGTTTCTTTCACCTGTACCGAACCGACGGAAGGAAGAGTAGCAGAATAAACATCTTAAGTGTACAATTTGTTTGTGGATTTCTTCAACAGTTTTAAAACTGGCCATAAATAATAGAAACCACGCCGCGTGGCCATGGCACAAAACTAATCAGAATTGTGAACAACAATGGCGAGTTAAGGGTGGAATAACCAATGATTTCTTTCCTATGCTAACTAACTCTTTACTGGTGATTGCCTCCCAATCAACCAAAACAAGAGTTGATAACAAAGACAATACACCTTTTCAGCTTGGGCGGCTTGTTGTCCCTTTTCAGACCATGTGATATTACTCTTGAGAACTCTTGCTTTCAAATTTTCAAATAAAAGTCGCGTGTATATAAATGAATAATTTTTAGATGGATAAAAGAACAATTCTCTAGAGAATACCACGTGATCTGTAATGGGAAAACAAGCCACCCAAGCTAAAAAGGTCTATTCAAAAAAACTAGAAATTATGTTCTCAAACTCATTAATAATTTATCGGGTTTAAACAGAGGAAGTCATGACCGTAACGGTGTTTGGATATCTAATCTTAAGAGTGAGTTTCGGGAAGAATCAGGAAAATTAAAAAAATGTGGCCACAAGGACCAAAAAAAACTAGTAGTGTCTGATTTTAAGAGAAAGTGGCGGTAAGAATCAGGAAAATTTAAAACATGTGGCCACACGGACCAAAAAACTAGTAGTGCCTGATTTTAAGAGTAAATGGCAGTAATTAAGAATAAGGAAAATTCAAAAAATGTGGCCACAAGGACCAAAAAACTAGTAGTGTCTGATTTTAAGGGTAAATGGCAGTAACAATCAGGAAAATTTAAAAAATGTGGCCACAAGGACCAAAAAATCGGTGGTGTCTAAATGGCAGTCAGAATTAAAGAAAATTTTAAAAATGTGGCCACCATGACCAAAAAAACCGGTGGTGTCTCAAATCGTCTGATATTTTGACAAAAGAGACTTCGAACACCGTCAGCTGTCCCGAGTTACGTTTTCAGTTTTGTGGGATCTTGTAAATCTTTGTCTATAAACGTCGAAGAAACTTGCACAAAAATACAACCTCCGCATTTTTGAAATGCACCCCATTTTTGCCTAGCTTCTCGTCTGCAACGGAGCGCTTATTGGGGAAATTGAATTTCTACAGCAAGTGAATGGAGCATTTGCTTTTTAAAAAACAACAACCTTGTCAGTCATCAACTTCAGTTAGAAATTTTTAAGAAGGATTTTCGGACTTCGTTCAAATCAACCGATTTTATGAAACTAGATCCCAGAAATATGGAATCAGGAACCTAAAAACCAAAGACTGAACCATTTCTGGTGAACAAAGACGCACTACTGTTGAGCTTTTAAACCTGCTTACTTGGGCGTATTTCAGACTTCTAACGCAAAATTTGGAATGTGTAACTAATTATTCCGGCCTCAATTTGTCAATGATGAACTTCAGTTAATAACATATCTCGAATCAAGAAGGACCATTGTATGCAAATGAACCTGAGAATGATTGCGTATCGAGAAACCGAAAAAGTGTAAAATGTCGCGTTCTCGCGAAGTGAAAACCAAGCATCCGGTACAATGACCGTTTTTCACGGATTTATACCTTTATATAGAACATTTCCAAAATCTAACCCAATACCGTTCAGATGACAAAGTTTAAGCAAAATTTAATTTTTGACCGTGGCCACAGTTTCATTGATTTTTACTGACTTTTTACTATTTTATTTCTCCCACGTTTTATATATGTTAGCTTCGATTGGGAAGATCTATCGAACACTCAAGAGAGTGTTTATCCACATTTCCAAACACCTCGAAGTTGGCCAAAAATGCTCCGCTACGCGTCGTATTTTCAACTGTCTTCTCGGTGTTTGGAAATGCGGTCAGACACGGTCTATTACATCAAAAAAGCAAACAGAAAGCGATCTATTTAAAGATTGATACTGAAACCTAATTACAGTCAAAGCAAGTAAAGCGTACCCGCCAAGATAACATTAATGAATAGACTACTTGAATATTGAACCCGTTAGCTGTATTCAGAATACGGTTAACGGGTTCAATATTCAAATAATCAGTTAGTTATGTAATATTGAGGGGTACACTTAGCTTCACTTGGTTTGACGGTAAACCGCGCGACCATGGGTCGAGCGCGGTTCTTGCTTCGCTCGAGGTTTTTTCTTTATGTCGGTGCCCAGAACCAGGCTCCCACTCGGCCGACTTCTTGAGAAAATTGCAAACCCCCAGCATTTGGTTTTCTTCTACAATAGAGCTATCGAACGTACATGGACAAGAACCAGGTCTTTTCGTGGTGACAGCCGCGAAGATTTGCAAAGGATTCTTTCTGCATGCGTGATGTAAACGTGAGGACATTTTTTATAACATGGAAATATTTAAACGCAGAAATGTGCGCTTGCTGACAGAGTGAAAATAAATGTTTTTGGTGTGATAGAGCCGGATAAAAGCGTTTTGAGCTGGAGTCACCGCGGAAATGAGATATTTCCCATTGCTCGCGGTTCCAAACGATATTTTCCTGTGGAAGATACCTTGTTGTTATGTTGTTGACAAGAAAAGTAATAGTCTTCTGTATAAAGAAAAAGTTTATTTAGAACTGCAAAAATATAAATTTGTTTGGATAGACTATTCGAAGCTCTAAGTTACATTTACAATCGCGTGGACGCTTAATTAATGTCAACAAACCAGTGCTGAAGAAGTTTAAAATTAGGAAGTGATGGGAGTTAGGTATGATCTACTGATCGCTCGGTTAAAATTTTTTAGTCAGGCACATACAGTGGAACCTCAATTTAACGAACCTCTATATGACGACGTTCTCGGGATAACGAACGATTTTCCTGGCCCTAGTAATAGTAAAGAATAACGTAAGGTAAGGTAAGGAAACTTTATTTTAAGTCGTAAACGTAAGGAGTGGTTGCCCAAAATCCCGAGCCAAGGGCTCATGACAAAGACGCACGACTATCTACAATAACATTACTACCTAGAACTACTATATTCGCTAAGATAAATTCAGAATTAAGATATAAAATATTCCTAAGAGCAACCAGTCCGAGGCCGTAATATTAAAAATTTAAGTTAGAAAATACAGTTCATACACTGGCACCCTACAAACTCCACACCATTCAAACGAGAACGAAATGGAAAAGAGCCTCGTTACAACGAAACCTCGTTATAATGAACATACATTTGGCCATGCCGCTAGCCATGCTGAGCATGAAAAAAGGGTTACATGGTTTTCTGTTGCTATGCATGCATGTGGTTCTGTTCCTATAGTTATGGAGCTCCGCTTGCCCGCCCTTCGAGCCGCCGGAGCTCCGCTGTTAAACGCATGGGATATCATCAACGAGCCAAAATGTAAGGGGTGGAGCTGGTGTTTTCTTTCGCCCGCTGCTTTGCGCTCGTACTGAAGGAAAAATGTCTCGCGCAAAAAGATAATAAAATGTCTGTGGACAGACTAACCCGTATAACAAACTGTGATCTGTCGCCCTCTCAGCCTTTCGTCTCATGTTAAGCTGACTAGTTGACAACTGTATAATTACTTAATGACAATAAAAAGGTGACAAAGTTCCATTCTCCAGCCTACTGGGAGTTTCATTTTTTAAAATTCAATGTCACATCGTCACCCACCAAAACAAACGGTGCCCACTGACTCACTTTTGAGTACCATTTACTTTCTCTCATCCACTTCATAGTATTCTGAAGTGACTCACTGGCACTCTCACCAAGAACGAGACGTTCATAGAATTGCTTCATGAACTGCAACGTAGCTCGGTCTTCAACAGCCCAGAGTGTCACCAACACTGAGCGTGCACCAGATCCTAAGAAAGCTCGAGCAATTCCAACGACTCCCTCTGCTTTAATTTGGCCGCTTCCACTGTGACAACAGCTGAGCACCACCAGCTTAGCACGTAGTTGCACGTTTGACACATCAGACATGGTCAACATGAAGTCTTCCTTTTCAGGGACTTTATTTCCATAGCAGATTGGTGAAAGACATATTTCTCCTCTTTCCGCATCCCCATGTGCCGCAATGTGGATCACACTCACTGAGTTTATTTCCTGCAGCACGGCCTGCTTGGTGGCTTGTCTTCCCGTCAAGACTCTTGAGGATTCAATTTGCAGCAATCGCCCAATCATCTCGGCTTCTTCTTTGGCAGATGATAGTCGAGAAACATATTCCTCCCTTCCGCGTAAACGGACTATTCCAACATCAGGGTCTCCCACAATCAGAGCACCAGTCTCACTGTGGTAATTGGTTGGACTTGCTTGGATTAGCTTTAGAGTTGTCAAAGATGGAATAACTCGGACCTTATATGTTTCAGAAAGATGTTTTCCACTGCTGTCTTCTAAGGCTGCAAGTGGTACTCTGTAGAGCAAGCCCTCGGGGACTATGATGAGTTCGGAGCCATCGAGGATGTCTTCAACAGGGGCGACTATCATTTTGTACCACATCCGCATAGTTGTCTCGCTCGCACTGTCAAGCAAAACCTCCGCGTCACCATCATCATGGTCATCCTCCTCTAAAAGGCGTGTTTGCGGGTTATCTTTGCGCTCATCTGTTTGGCCCGCTTGGAACATCAACAGTGATCTGTCTTCGCAGTCAATGCCTCGTCCAAACTTGTACAGCGCGTATGTCACATCTACCATGGATTCAAAAAGGGCCTCGACATTCACACCTTTGATACGTTGAGCAACCGCTTCCAAAGTATCCCTTGGTACTTTCCTAAATGTAATGTATCCATCTGGTTTCACCACCCAGAGGAAAAGTTCGTGTACGTGGTAGGAGAGAAAAATAACACTGCAGTCATTCTTCAGCGGCAGTGTTTCAATATCGGATATCTTCAATTCTTGTCCCTGGCCACCCTCCTGGATGAGGTATTGCTTTGACATCAAATCTGCTAGGCCTCTCGCACGCCCTAGCTCCGCAGTATACAAGGCTTTGTTTAAGTCTCCTTTCGACTGACACAAAAGACAAACTAGTAGCTTGTAAGGGAAAGCGTTTCTGTCGCTGAAAGAGACTTTGAAGTGATCACTATCGCCAAGAGGGCGTCTGACGCTTTCGTACAGGTCAATACTTTCCGACAGATAGTGCAACGCTTTGGAAATATCTCCATTCCAGGCCAGACAAAGACCTAACTTCGCACAAGCCATGCCTTGACCATTCTTGTCTTCTGTTTCCTTGGTAATATGAAGAGCTTTCTCATGATTTTCTATTGCGAGTGTATAATCGCCAACAGATTCATACACGGATCCAAGGTTTTCGTAACAATCACTTTCCCCATATTTATCTCCAATTTCCAAATGGATCTCAAGTGCTTTCTTGCTGTGTTCTATCGATTTGGTGTATTCACCTTGGAGGCGAAATAAATCAGCAAGACTTCGGTATTGGGTGCCTTCTTCCTTCCTCATGTTCAGTTCCACAGCTGACTCTAGTGCCGTCTCGATATACATCAGAGCCTTGTCATAGTCACCCAGAACCTTATATTCTGCCCCAATATTCCCGTAAAGTATTGTCTCCGACGATCTGTCTTCGATCCTGACACTGATCTCAAGAGCCTCTTCGTAGCGCTTGAAAGCTTCCTTGTGTTCACCAAGGCAATGGTAAACATTTCCAAGGTTACCGTAGCTATTGGCCAAACCGGGCTGATCTCCAATTTCTCGTCTGATTTGCAGTGCTTTCTCGTGATACTCGAGGGCCTTGGAATAATCACTCAGCGATTGATAAGCTGCACCGATGTTGGTGTAGTCACCGCATTCGTTCTGTTTGTCCCCTAGTTCTTTCCTGATCTGAAGTGCCATGTTATGGTACTCTATGGCTTTTAAATATTCGCCTTGAGAGTGGAAGATCACGCCAAGATTTCCATAATTCACACCTTCTCCTTTTTTGTCCTTGAGGTCGCGATGGATTTGAAGGGCTTTCTCCTGATGCTCTGCAGCTTTGGCATATTGGCCAATGGCGTGGTAAGCTGTACCAAGATTTCCAAGGTGCGTGGCTTCTCCTTGTTTGTCTCCAATTCTTGTTCTTGTTTCAAGGGCCTTCGTAAGGCATTCAAGAGCTTTCAAGAAGTCGCCAAGACGCGCATAAGCAGATCCTAAATTACCAAGGGACACAGCTTCTTGTTTCACATCTCCGAACTCCCTTGACATTTGAAGTGCGTTCTCGTGGCATTCTTTAGCTTTCGTGTATTCTCCAAGGGAATCGTACAGGACGCCAAGGTTACTTTCGTGTCTTCGTTGTTCGGTTCTGTCTCCACTTTCCCTGCTTATTTCAAGTGCTCTCAACTGATAAGGCTCAGCCTTTTTAAATTTACCAATAGACGAGCAAAACCCTGCAAGTCTATCAGCACTGTGACATTCCCCGCGTCGGTCTCCTATGCGGCCTCTCAACAGAATTGCTTTTTCATAAAATTCAATGGCTTTCTCTGACTCACCAAGACTCTTGTGCACATCACCAATGTTGTTATAGTCTTGAGCCTCCCCTCCGAAGTCCCTAAGTTCTTTGTTAATTTCGAGCGATCTTTTGTGATATTCCAGAGATCTGGGATAATCACCGAGACATTGGTAGACGCTTCCCAGGTTGCCATTGTTGATGCTCTCCTCTCGTTTGTGCCCAATGGCTTGACTGATCTCAAGCGCTTTAGCGGAACATTTAATCGCCTTTTCGTACTCTCCAGCTTTAAGATAGGTACTTCCAAGGTTGCCGTAACTGGTGCACTCTCCTTTTTTGTTTTTCATCTCTTTAGCGAGTGTCAGAACCTTGTTATAGTAGTCGATGGCGTTTGTGAAGTCATTGATAAAGTAATACGCTGTTCCAAGCCTACTGTAAACTATCAATGTTAGTTGCTTTCGTACATCTAAAAGCGCTTGCATTGTTTTCATCCCATCACTGTTCAAAAGCACCAAGCACTCTTTAAACAAGCCAATGGCTTTGTCATATCTATGGGTGTTCAGAAGAAATATCGCAACAGAGATACCAATGGTTAAGGCTTCAAGGTACTCTTCGACTCCTTCCATTCTTTTGTAGCTATATATCTGTTGAGGTAATTAAAATATGCCAATAAACTGAAAACTGGTTCTTTTCTTCAAATAGTAGTTTGTTCAGTTCATAGATTTTATTATAATTATTGTAAGGGTTTGCATCTCAAAATAAAGTAATGGTGGTTAAGGATCTCGTCCAGGACGTTAGAGAGCTTTAATCACCTCGATCTATACACAGTAAAGGTTACGTAAAGGTTATAAGTCTGTGCCATTAATCAAGCTAGGTGACCCTCTATAGATGGCATACCAGACTTGCTGGCTTAACGTTGGATTCCGTTGGTTAATAAAATGTAAGTAAAAGTATTGTTACTCGCTCTAGATGGTTGCTCCGTGTCAAACAACGCATTCGACAGTACGGAACCCTTACAATTAAGATCGAGAGGATGAAGAGTACGACAGTTAATCTACCACATAGACCTTATTCCAAAAGTAATCCCTCTTGAGTATTTTCTTAATCCCTTCCGGTTTGGGAAATCCCCAGGGAGTTTAGAAATGGTCAATCTTGTGACACAGGTTTTACAAGTGGACAGCCCAAGCAGCTTTATGCACATTTTCATATAACATCCACGCAGGTGGTAACAACCCGCAGTAGAACTGGGTACTACGCCTAAAAACAACTTTGGGAATAAGGCTCATACGGGGGATTAACGTCCTCTCCTTATACGACACAATTTGGGTCAGAATCCTGAGAATTCGTCGTTTGGAAACAAGGCGACTCTGCAGTTTTCGGGAGAAGGAATGTTGCAAAGAGTTATGGCGTAACCATGGTGGCAAGCTGATGTAAAAACTCGGTTTTGCGAATAAGTAAAAAACAATGTCTTACTCATAACTAATAACATAAAGCCAATGATTTAAGACGTCCTTCTTTTTGGTTATAATTAAAAGGTATCGATACCCAACGTCTTTCGTTCTCGGCGTAGTGCTGCTTGGTTCGTAATCCATTTCCATTGCCATTATTACTCAGGGGAGCCGGGAAGGATGTAAAGGAGGAGAGGGGATATTGGGAAGAAGAGAAGTTAAAGTTGAGGAATAAAGGGAAGGTAGAGAGGAGATGGGAATGGACGGAGGGGACGAGCTTATTATGAACAATCCGTGACAGACCTTCTTTCCTTACGTGACTTGCCAAGTTGTCTTGCTAGTTTAAAACATTTTAGCACTGCAATTGCCGCTATTACCGAAATTCCAATCTCTACACCGTGTGCGTGGCTTAATTATCTTTTAGTGATGTTCATTACACCAAATATGAACAGACGACAGAAACCTGCATTATTTACTAGCATGAATATTTCAGGAACGTGACAACTGTCAGTTTTCTGTTCCACTTCCGGTTAGTTCCTGCTTTATTTCAAGTACGCACTCAGTCGAGATCGGTGAGGTTATTCATCTACCATACTTTAGGACTGATTTATTGCCCTCTTTTAGATGAATTGTAAGACTTTCAAAGCTAAATTTTACCGGTTTGATTCATTCTACGGCATCACCTTCCAAAGTACGTTGGAGGAAAAAGACAGAATTTTCGCTTTCTTCATCACTAATCCTCGCTTGCTAGAAATTATATGGGATAGAAAGAAATTAAAGTTTAGGGGTCCAAGATTTAACTTTGAGATAACGTTCCCTGAGCTGCATAAAGACGCCAACTAAATTATCGAAGTGAATTAAATATCTCACAACACCATAGCTTTCACTGACCGGAACGAGGCTTAGCAATTGGCATCAAGTAAACTGGCAGGTAAGGCAATTCTAAATCGAAAAAATATAGTATGAAGAATCATTTACCAATCAAATTCCTCGATTTCTTTGTTAATTTCTGCGTTTTCCGACACACTGAAGAAGTACAGGCAGCTTTCGCTTCAAATTCACCCAAAACGTACACAGTCCCCTACATAACGTGGAAGTCTGGGGCTTGAAAAAACGTTCTCGCTCTAATCACGGATAATAGAAGAGACTGTCATAAGTGAAATTAATCTCGCAGTTTGATTGGTTCTTACTTGTGATCAATTTGACGGCAGTTGTCTAGATGAAATGTTTATTTTGTTTCTCATAATATAAAACAGATAGATTCCATAACACAAATTTGACAAGAAAAAGTTGCTTCTATTTTAGAAAATCTGATCGTGATTCATCACGTATGTCACGAGTTTGTCATGGGGCCTTTATTACGGACACAACCGCCACGAGTTTTCTAATGTTGACTGTCACGAGGTTTAGCAAATTCCGAACTACTGACCCAGTTCGTTTCCGATTTTTGCCGATAAGTACCGAAGTGAACCGAAGTGAACCGAAGTGCAACTACAGTGTACTTTAGTTCCAGTCTTCCGATTCACCGCGTTCTAATTAGGATTGGGTCAAAGTTTTCTTTGAGGATTGCATTGTCGCTCCAATTTCCTTCATTTCAAGAGTCTGAAACTACGTTTTTCTGTGGCCTTCATGGAGGATTTGTTGACGTAGTTCAGCTCAAACTAAAGAAGGCGAAATCAGGCTGCTTCATTCACTTCACCATTCATCACAAAAATACTTTATAGCGTGTCTGGACTTTACAGCGTGTGAATCAACATGGCCGCGGTTTCGAGCGCCATCACTCAGTCTCAGGAATACATTAGCTTTCGTAGTACTGTGCCATTGAGGCGGGTAGGTGTGAGAAACGTTGTAACTAATTAATGAGCCTCCTCGGTAAACAACATGTTAAAAACCAGTGAAAATTTAATGATCGAAAATACGGAAGCTGAATTGACAAAAACTACTCGCTTGCTAACACAGCTGTGCATGCATGATCGGTTCAACTTAGTCAAACTTAGACACACATGTGTTTAAGTTTAAAACGTTTGTCATATAAAAGCGAGTATCTTACTGGAACGTAGTCCCGATTTCGTTTTACTATAATCTTATTTAGATCAGTATTCTTGTTTATCACTGCTAAATACAGCTTTAAAATACTCAATGCAGTGGATTTCACAAGCTGAGCATACTTTGTCGAGGAAAAGGTTGTTGTTATTCATCGTGGTAGATGCAATAATAAAGTGTATTATCGTTTGTCTCACGATGTAGTCACTTGAGATGTAGATCGCGACGT